ATAATAATTTTCTAATTTGTATGCTATCTATAGAGAGACGTCACCCAAACCTCTGCAGTCTTTGCAAAGATCCACAAATGTGTTCAGAAAGAGATCCATACGCTGGCGAAGAGGGGGCCATAAAGTGCCTGATGGAAGGTGAGGGACAGGTGGCCTTCACTACCATTGAAACGGCCGAACATTACTTTAAGACGCGACCCGAAGAGAGAGACAATTACCAGTTTCTATGTCTGGATGGCTCTCGAATGCCAATCACTCGCAGAGCCTGTGAGTGGGCGCGAAAGCCTACCAATGCTTTTGTTATTAGAAAAGGAAGAGGTTTGTTATTTTGCACGCATTATTAAAGCCTCTATTTTTCGGCAATTCTCAATCAATTGTTATTTAAATGATCAGCAATTAGTCTCAATGGTAATAAGCCTTATGATGACGATAGTAAAAGTTTGTTGTTATTTCATTAACGCATATATTTAGACAAATGTAAATTAGCAAATATGGTCAAATATTAGAATTTGAAACATTAATCTATTGCTAATTTACTTATTAATATTATGAAATTTATGTTAATACAATTTATGTTTTATTTTTAAGTTATAGAAATATCCAATAATTTCACTTTACATGATTAATTTTATAAGTTTTTGTTCCAGATTTTATTTACGAATTTGGTCATTTTATATTCCTGATTCCCGTCCGAATTTGATAAAAATTCCCGAAATATAGAGGCTTACTTATTATATATACTGTAATTGATTTTAATGTTTAATTCAATTATTTTGATTTTTGATTTTATATGTTGTGAAAAGTAATGAATTCAAAGTAATGAATAAATGTTGGAAATGTAGAATAGCTGTTGAATGACATAATTAGATGCCATTAGTATTTATTGATTGCTATTTTTTAAGTCCTTGTAATTTGAAATCTGTTTAACAATATTAAGCTTATGAATAGTTTTTGGTTTCTATATTATATTTAATTTATAAGCAAACAATGCAATAGAAAACAGATTTTTTTGTACAAATAGTTTGAAGATTTGTTTGTATTTAATTGAATGAATGTGTCATTAATTTAAGTCAAATATAACTTCTTTTTATGTTCAAACTCTATTGATTGAAATGAATTTTACTAACCGTTTGGCCGTCAAATAAATTTATATTACTATTCTTTCATTGCATTCTTATATTAATACAAAACTATAAATCTTTCATATGTTTATTATTAACATTTTCATTGAAATCTATTTTGTATATTATTTGCGACAGAAATAATATACTGTAAATTATAAATCTTTTCTTAATTTACAATGCGTGTTTATATTATAAAATGAAAGTACACAAAAGTAAAGTAGTCTATTAATAATAGAATATTATCATATAAAAAGTTTTCTAATAATACATTAATATAATTCAATACGTTTGTTAACAAGATTAATCTAGTGTTAAAAGTTAAATTAAATTTTAAAAATAATGAAATCAATGTAACAATACTTTTGTTTTTGGATAAATAGCGCGACAAAAGGATTACTATTTAAGATATTTGCAGCAAATATTCTTCCGATATTCACAATTGAAACCTCAATGGTTTACACAATCATTTGTGTCGTCAGACAATGTCACTCAAC